ATTCCACCTTCAGAATAGGGAAACGAGTGGGGTGGCAGCAGAATACTCCCACAGCCATTGCTGAGAAGGCAGTTTTTCCTTGGGATCTGACTAGTGACCTTTGAGTGCAGATTCCTGCTCAACTGCAGAACCGTGCCTGAACTTTGAGCCTACAAAGCAGCAAGGTCAGGATTCAGCTCACTGTGATTAGTGTTTGAACTGGTCAATACAGCGGCTGACACTATAAACTGACAAGAAATCCAGAGGTGCGTGAGACAAACCAGTAATCTGCCTTTTAGCCCTGCAAGTGCACAGAAGTGGAGATCTCCCCCATTAACACAGTAAACTCCCCAGAAGTCTATAATAAGTAAAGTTAACCTACAGAGGCCAATTGCATATTACAGTGGCTAGTGGCTACCACTGTAGAGTTTAACATTAGGTTAAACACCAGAGAGGGTACATCTGTGAAACAACTCTCCTCCCAGAAAAAAGCCTTTAAACAACTCACTGGGCCTTGGGATGGGGCCTGGGCTCCAAGAACCCTCTTCCCTCTAGCCCGAGCCTGAATATCTACACTGCTATTTTTAGCCCTGCTGCGTGAATCCTGTTAGCCTAAGTCCGTTGGCTCAAGCTCGTTGACTCATTGCTTCCAGAGTTGTAGGGCTTAGCTGTGCAGCTTTTTCCTCTGTGTAGACATACCCAGAATGACCCTTGTCAAAGGTATGGCTATAACATGTTTGATTTCTAAATACATGTGGCTTAAAACCTAAGGGCATGAAAAACATCTGACTTTCTGAATGAATGGCTTCTGTATTTTTCTGTTTCCTAGCGCTGTCAGTGTGGCTGGCCAGCCACCAACTCCCTCTTTGCAGGGTGCCCTATGCCTGCAAAGAATTAGGTCAGGCTCTTAGCCACCATAATGCATGTAGAAAGGTCCTTTTCTCATGACAAACAACCACCGTTCTTTCCCCCTGCAGTCACTGAACCTGAACAAACAACTTAAGCTACAAACTGTCACAGACATGCTTGGCTGCCCCTGGCAGTTACCCACCAGACTTCTGCAAGGGGAATCCTGCCTCTGCACATGTTAAGGTTTTGTAGGATGAACATAGCCTTAGCACTATCCTACTCTAGGGTCCTCCATGCACATACTTGGAATGCAGACTCTCTGTCTAGCAACCTCTAATAAGAACGATGACCATGTGACTCAGCTGCCAGTGTTCACTTATTTCTCAGACTCTCCCCCTCTAGTTTATACTCCCCTATTCCTGAATCCCATTGAAGTGTGGATGTAGGTGAAGTGTTTTTTTGTTGTTGTTTTTGCCCCCCCTCCCTCCCCTCCGAAAAAAAGGCAGGGTGTTTTTTTGTTTGTTTGGCTGGTTTTTTTCGAAAAAACCATGTAGTCTAAACATACCCTAGGTTACCATTTAACTTTCTCAGCAGGCTAGTAGTAGATGTCATAGATAACACACTGATATTTTGCACAGAGTGCCATGCCATTGCCCCTTTTCTCAATCACATGAGAAATATATAGATCATTACAAAAATAACCCTTATGCTTTCCCTGCCTCAGTTTACTCACCACTCCAGAGCATCCCTTGTAGAGGGTCAGACTCCCTTGGGTTATCCAGAGTCCATCTTCCCAGTGCATGGCTTGCCCTGGAACATGGAGACTTCTTCCCTAGCTGGGCAAATTCCCTCCCTTTCCCCGCCCGCTTTCTCTCTCACTAAGAGACTTCTCATGACCCAAACAATCTGTTTTCTTTCTAAACTAGTATGACCATCACAAGCTACAGCCACAAAGCAGTTTACAGCTGTTCAAATGTACCTACGCACTGCTGCTAGTGCGGGCAATAAGCCAACAGGAGAGAGCTTGTTGCTCAAGGGTGTGAATAAAGCCACCCCTGAGTGATGTAAGCTACATCAACTGAAGGACCAGTGGTGACAGAGCCATGTCAGCAGGAGAGTGTCTCCTACCAACATCGCTACTGCTGCTTTCTGGGGGCTGGAATAATTAAGCCTTAGTGTCTTCGTTCTGTATCTGGATATTTTGCACTACTCCAAACACCTGGCCTCTGCACAGAAGGTGGATAAAACCAGTTTGCCTGAAGACAGTTACTCTTTTGATCTTCCCAGGTATGACATATTCAGGTGCTGCTAGTCCATAACAATCGCCTATTGTCCCAGGCCTAGCAGACATGCTTTTGTGGCTAGAAAAGCCATGGTGGATGAACAGATCTTCTACAGAGCCCCCACCCCATTATGCAAGTGCACTCAAAAATGTGACAACCGTACTTTAAGTAGCTGAAAGCTAGGCATCCCAAGTTCAGAGTGTATTTTCCATACCTCCTTAGGAAGCTCAGATATAATTCAAGGTCAGAGAGAGAACCCACAAGCGAAGACTTCATGCTTAGGTGAGGTCCTCTAATCAGGCCACTTTGGATAAAAGGTGCTATATAAAGTACAAAATTAACTAACCACACAGCATAGCCTAAGGTAAGTGTCCATCAAAAATATTTTGATTAGATATTGTGACCTGAAATGACCCATATTATTGAAAAATAATAGTGAATTCTTTTTAAAGCTTAGACGGCAGGGGAAGAGGCTTACAGCCTACAACCACACGATCATTATCAACTTAGATATCTGGTTTTCACCACAAACCTTTTATTCCATTACAATATTTTATCATTAAAAGAAACTGATTAACTACCAACAAAAATTGAATGGCATGTACGTCTTTTGATATAACAATGCAAGGATCGGTTAAATACCACCAAAATATGATTACAAATAAAAGGAAATGAGATGAAATGTTAGTAGCCATCCAGTACTAGTTCTGGAGTATACAGTAAGTTGTATCTAATCAGTATTCTTGCAATATAAATTGAAACACTATGGGTGTATCTAGACTAAAAGGTTTTTTCCAAAAAAGTGGCTTTTTTCAAAAAAACTTCCCCTGCATCTAGACTGCTGCCGTGTTCTTTTGAAAGTAAATCAAAAGAATGCGGCAGTTTTTCTGACCACGGAAAACCTCATTTTACGAGGAATAATGCCTTTTTTAAAAAGTGCTCTTTTGAAAAAAGACGCTATATAATGCAAACTGTGCTTTTTCGAAAGAGAACATCCAGACTGCCTTGGTGCTCTCTTTTGAAAAAGCAGCTTACTTTTTCGAAAGTACTGGTTGTAGTCTAGACGCTCTTTTTAAAGAGACTTTTTTGAAAGTATCTTTAGAAAAAGGCTTGCAGTCTAGACATAGCCAATGTGTCCAGCCACATGTTCCTTAACTGCTTAACTATGCTCTCTGCATATGGAGGATATCGGCAGGAGAAGGCAATTTTTGGGAATGCCATATTTTATAGTCTGATGCAAATGAGAGAAGCATTTTAAGTGGAGATGGATATGTAGTATTTGGGAATTCATATGGTCAACTATAATTAAAAGTATAGCCTGATGATGTGTGTTTTAATAAAGAAAAGAATTATAAAATCGGTCTTTAGATAAATGTAGCTATTCTCAGTTTTTATACTTAGTCAAGATTATACTTAAACATAAACTACAAGTCTAATAAAACACAATATTAAAAAAACAAACCAAAAGCCTCTTGTGCAAAAACGGACCCTAATTAATTATGCACATGGAATGTGGCAATATGCTAATCCATGCTTCATTTGCATAGGCTTTTGCGCAAGAGAGGTGCAATGTAGACGTAGTTTGTGTCATGTTCCTGTAACTTAAAATTGGATTAATACATTTTGCTTGTAACTTTAGTATACCTGTGTTGGCTCAAGGGAACCAGTCAAGAGTTCTAAGAACTGAATGCCCCTCAACTTATGGTATGATCTTTACATCAAAGACATGTTAGTCAGGATATAAGTTTGAGAAGCTGATTCATCATATTTGCATTGCAAAAGTATTCACATGGCACCAACTAAGTTTTTAAAGTCCTATCCCAGACTCAGTGTATAAAGTAGGATGGACTTTCTCAGAACAATCTTATCTAGCCAAAAGATCAACAGTGATGAGGAAATAAGAGTTGCAATAATATAAGGCCTACATTTTCAAATGTATTTAGAGGTTTTTTTTCCCCTTAGTAGTGCAAGGTCCAAGTGACTTGGCTGGCTAAGATCGATTTTCAAAAGTGATCTAAGCATTAAATCTCGCCACTTAAACATATTAACAAAACTGTGTCGAATATAATTTCTTGATTATAATAAAGCTCTTTGATTAGGGTTAGAAAATAGGTGACTGCTATTATCACGTTAGCCTTCCCCATGCTAAATTAGCACTGATGTAAGAGCCTTGACTGTTAGAAACAGCTTCTGCCTCTGGAACTCAAAGGATTTGCAAAATTTAAATACTGTTTTTGGCACAGAGGAATTCATCACACCAGAAGACATATTTTAAATGGATAAAGTAGGAGGTCAAACTGGGTCAGCTCATAGTAAGTGAGTATCATTTTGAGCTTTGAACCTAGGTTGCTATTAAAATGAATAAGCCCCTGGCAAATAGGATGAAAAATAACCTTCAAAATTTGAATATGTAAACCAATGCCAGGTACCTTTCCTGAGTTTGCAGACTGACTTGAGAAATAGTTCACATGACACAGAAGCTTTATGACAATTTAAATGTCAGTGCTAACTGTTTCACAGCATTAAAAGCATGGGAAAAAAGAATGAGGGGTGATCCTATTATAAAGCTGAGTATTTGCTGGAGTTATATCTCATTTTGGCATCATTAGTGGAAATTGGGAGAATAACATGTTCCCCCCAATCTGATTGCAAGATAAAATACTGAGCAGGACACTCAAAACTTAAGCACTGAGTTCAGGTATATAGATCAGGTGGTACCAGCTCATATAATCAAAACAGTTAAAAAGATGCCAGAACAGAAAAGAATATAGTAGCATATGACAAGATAAAATGAAAACTCTCAAATGTGAGGTTAAAGTTTCACACATTGGGCTTTGATATCCCTTTGGAAGCCACACATGAAATGGATTCTTTACATATCAGTCTTACCCATTATTGCCACAAGGGTGAGGAAGAATCAGACACCATTTCCCCAGCATTTGTAGAGCCTCATCTGTGGCTATGGAATCCATGTGTGGCCAAGATGTCAACCTAGGGCCAGAGGAGAGACAAGAGTGAGGCTGTGGTGTGTGGACATTCACAAAAACACCACAAAACCCAGCATAGCATCAAACTATATTACAGGGGCCTGGAGCCTCTTGCGTACATTGGAATTCTCAATGACAGGCACATTCTGAGGGCAATTAGCAGCACAGAAGTGCATCTATCATGGTTTTGATGTGATCCCATCACTGCAGAATCTATGAGTATGTCTACACAGCATTTCTAAGCGAGTGGGAACAAACCTGGTAGCGCAGGTTGATGGGCTAGGGCAGTGGTTTGCAGACTTTTGTTTGGGTGACCAGTTCATACCGCAAAGCTTTGAATCTAACCCCCCCTCAAAGTATAAATGCATTTTTTATATTTAACACTACTATTACTGCTGGAAGGAAAATGCAGTTGGGGGTAGAGACTGACAGCTTGTGATGCCTGTATAATAACCTTGTGGCCCCGAGCCCATAATTTAAGAACCCCTGGACTAGGACTACCATCCAGGGCTGGCCTTACCATGAGGCGAACTGAGGCTGCCACCTCACGTGCCAGACTGAGGGGGGGCGCCACTAAGACCTAGAATGTAGAAAATTGTGTCTGCTGCAGTTAGTTCTCCTTTATTGGGGTAGGTAGCAGAGCAGTACCATGAGAGGAGAAGAACAGGAAGAAGGCAGAATTGAGACCTTTCAAAGTTTTGGCCCAAGCGAGGGAGCATGGGGGAGTCATTTGAGCTCCCCGCCTCAGGTGCCAAAATGTTGTGGGCCGACCCTGCTAGCAATTCATGTGCTAGCACACTAAAAATAGTTGTATCAGCATGCTTTGAAACCATAACTCAGGCTGCAGCTGGGGCTCTGAAGAAGGGTGGTAGGGAGGCTGAGCCCCAAACTCAAGGCGCTGTCCATACAGTTATTGTTAGAGCATTTGTGTGAGCTCCACTAGTCCAAGTATATTGGCCTGGAGTGGGAGGCTCACTCCAATGCTGTTTAGACATCACATATCCTTAGCCTTTGGGAGCACAGCTCCAGTGGATTGTACCTATTCATAGGTCAAATTGTATTTCTCATCACTATTGCAGCAGTACATATCCATAAGCATTTTACAATATGAGAAACAACAGATAGAATGGTCACAAAGAAAAGAGATAAGTTGTAGAGGTAAATATTTTCACAAAGCCATTTTGTGAATTAAAGAGACATAACAAATGAATAAAATTAAAAATACCACATTTCTGTCCGAAAATATTGTATAGTGCTAAGTGATACCTATGACAACTATAATAAAAAAAAGAATTAAAAGAAAAGAGGTTCTCTATATTTTTTTCCCCATTTGCTTTCTTTTTTGTATATTGTGTATTGCGAAACTGATCTGAGAACAAAATATTTGTTGTGTGAGAAATTTCAGAATTTGTTTTGGTTCCAAATAGAAACAAAAAGTTAAAACTTTGAAATTTTTTGCAGATTTGGAATTCTGAAAAATAGTTTTCAATAAAGCCAATCCATTATAATGCAAAATAATATTCATAATATGAACTCTAATTAATATATTAAAATATAAAAGTGGAAATAGTTTGGCATTAAACAAACAAAAGGAACAATTCTTTTCCACACTTTTCCATTGAAAATTTCACCAAAGTTGACACATTCCCATAACATGTTTTAGTTGAAACATAATATTCTAATGGAAAGCAATTTCATGGAATATTTTTTGACCGGTGCTTGAGTAGTCATTTTTGTTGGTGATTCACTTTTCTGGATAATTGTTTAGATCTTACATCTTTATTTCTATTTCCTTCCCACTGTGTGATTGATTGCTTGACTCATTATTAGATGGTGTCTCCTTCTGACCATTCTGGGAATTAGCTTTACAGGCTTGACACATCTTCCCAGAGTTGCATACCATTTCTTTATCCTTCTCCACCAGATACTACAACCTCTTCATGACTCTTTTCCCCTTCCAGTGTACCAAAATCCTCCTTTAGCAACCTTAGTCAATTCACTGCCCCATAGTTCCACTGGCAGGGAAAGCAGGCCCACCGACTGCTCTCGCTTTCCATCTCAATAACCTTTTAAGTAAGCAGCCAAGGTTTGCTGCATTCTAGACCTTACTGCTTTCCCTGCATCTTTTCCTTACCATTTGGCACTCTCCGATTTCCATTTTCCAGCCTCTCTTTTCCTAGGGAGCAATTGCAATCCATCTATACCTATGGCCTATAACACCATTTTCTCCCAGCTCCTTTTCAGTAGCCCCCTTGTCTGTATAAATCCAGACTGGCTGTTATACCTCAACTGAGCTTCCTCAGTCAGGGAATTATTTAGCCACCTGATGCCCCTCAGCCGTGACCTGTTGAGATAATTAGTCCCTTTCTCAGTCTACAGATCTGGCTAATCTACATGCCTCCGTCGAAGGAGGCATGTAGTCTAGACACACCCTCAGGGAATTATTTAGCCACCTGATGCCCCTCAGCCGTGACCTGTTGAGTTAATTAGTCCCTTTCTCAGTCTACATTAATCCTTTCTAGGCAAGTATGGAGTGAACACCCTACCAAGCACTGTGAAAGGTATTCATAGATTCCAAGTCTGAATGGACAATCATGATCATCTGGTCTGACCTTCTATATAACAGGGAACCTTCCCCAGTAATTGCTGCAGTAAGCCCATAATTTCTGTTTGTGCTGCAGTATATTTTATAGAAATGAAATGTAGTTATGGTCTGAAGACTTCAGATGATGGAAGATACAACATGTCCCTAGGTAAGTTCTCTTAATGTTCAAATTATACAAAACTAAACAAGAACTGATATCTGTATATGAAAAGGTATCTTATGAATTAGTTTAAAATGTCAAACCAGTTTTAAATTGGATATGAAAATGTCATCATGTAAGTTACTAAAACTTAAAAATATATTGATTAGGAAATTGTTCAGAAAATATATTTCAGGCTTAGCCAAATTGCTAAATCTGTGTTTTAATAACCATTTGCATATTAAGAATGGGACAAGACATTACTGGAAGCTTGTATTTCAATATTTCATTCAGTTGCCACTGTGTTAAAACAGAAATCTGATTAAAACTATCAATAAGTAACCAATGAGAACACAAACTTTAATGTTAGGATTAGAGACTTTCTAAAAATGCACTGGACACAAAATCATAGAATGATGGAAGTTTAGGACCAGAAGAGACATGATTAAGTAAAAACCAAGACTCTCTGGGTATATCTACACTACCACCTTAGTTCGAACTAGTTACTCACGAGGAGTAACGGTAGTTCGGACTAGGAAGCCTAGTCTGAACTACCTAGTCTGTGCCGCGTGTAGCTGCGCGGCACGGAGTCTGCACTAGCGGACATTTTAAAATGGCGGCGCCCGGCTTTATGCAAATGAAGCCCGGGAAATTCAAATCCCGGGCTTCATTTGCAACTCCGGTTGTCTACATTACCACCCTAGTTCGAACTATTGTCTAACCTGTTCTTAACCTCCAGAGATGGAGATCCCACAACTTCCCTGGGCAATTTGTACCAATGAATAACTGTCTTGATAGTTAGGAAGTTTTTCCTAATGTACAACCTAAATCTCCCTTGCTGCATTTTAATTCTGCCGTTTCTTGTCTTATCCTTAAAGGTAAACAAGAACCATTTTCACCTTCCTCCTTGTAATGTATGTACTTGAAAACTTTTATGTTTTAGTCTCCTCTTCTCCAGACTAAACACACAGGCTATGTCTAGACAGTGGCGCTATTTCAGGATACTAGAAGTATCCCAAAATAGCTATTCCACAACTTTGAACATGACCATTATTTAATTTCAAAATGTATTTTGAAATTACGGGTGTGCTATTCCAGCATCCCTGTAACTCTTATTTCACGAGGCTTAAGGGATGTGTCAGAATCACGCTTTATTTCAAAATTACCTTTAAATAAGCTATGCAATTTGCATAGAGCTGAGGCCTCATCAGTGCAGAATGGAGGCAGCAAAAGAATAGCTTTTTGTGTCTTGCTTACATCATTCCTGATAAAACATCCCAGAATGATGTTTGCCCCTTCATTTATTTATTTTTTGTGCAACCGTATTCCATTGATTCATGATTTCCTTGGGATCTATTATAACACCCAGACCAGCTTTCACAGAACTCCTTCCTAGGCAATCATTTCCCATTTTGTATGTGTGCAACTGATTGTTCCTTCCAAAGTGGAGTACTTTGCATTTGTCGGTATTGAATTTAATCCTGTTTACCTCTGACCATTTCTTCAGTTTTGTCAAGAGAATTTTGAAAGAACAGATAAGCTGTGTAAAACAAGAAACATAAGTCATCAACAAAACCAAAAAGAAGTTACTCTAAGTATCACAGTTTTTAAACTTTCCTTGGCATTGGGCACGTACTGAACTCCTTCCATATTAGAGATGTTACGTTTTTACAATTTTGGAAAGTTGTAACTTGCTGATTTTTTAGTTGAAAGAGAAGCAGTTTGTACAGAACCGTGATTGTAGTGTACTGGGTGTGTACTGTACTGCATGTGAATTGACAAGTAAATGACTAAGCTGAGATTGCCGGAAAGACTGACTGCCTCTGAACAAATCACCAGGATTCAAACCTCTCAGAACAAGATTATAGAAAGCAAGATAAGAGCACTTGAGTGATTTGTACTAGAGACACTTGAATCAGAAGTGATGTTTGGTATAGAAATAATGCATTGGGTTGTAGAGCTTTACTTGCACTAAAGAAATCCTTAGTGTTACTCACAGTGTTATAATTTAATTAATTGAATTTCATACTTGATAGAAGCGTACAGATACAAGGCTAATAAAACTGGTGATATCTTTAAAGACATAACATGTTTGGAAACGTACTGTTTCCACTGAAAAATAATATGGAAAATTGGAATTTCTTTAACACAAGCTTTTTGAAGCTTAATTTAATATTCAGTGATCTGGAATGCAACATTTTATTAGAACTTATAAATAAATAATCAACACAAAAATCTATGTGCAGTAAATGACCTAAAA